ACACACACACACACACACACACACACACATATAGAAACTTGAACTAGAAATATATATTGCAGAAGCAAAAGTGTCTGCATTGGAGGATGATATGGATGAAGGAATAGAATCTTCTGAGGATGAAGATATACCTCCAGTCAAGGAAGATATTCGCAAAAGAACGGACGATCATGACAGAGACAGAGATCGTCACAGAGACCGAGACAAAAGGCATTCGCGTTCTGATAAAAAGTCTGACAGAGAAAAGCAAAGATCAAGGAGCAGAGACAGGGACAGAGACAGGCGAGAACGTAAACGTAGTAAATCTCCCAAAAGCCATTCTTCTCATAAAGATAAAGACAGAGATAAAGATCGGCATCGGCGAGATGACAGAGATAGAGAAAGAGACCGGGATCGAGATCGAAGACGAGAGCGTGACAGAACTAGACACTAAATAAGGATATTGAGATACGACAGATATTGTACAGGATATAATAATTTACTTTTATAACTATCAGGTGAATAAAAAACAAAGCAATACTCTTGAATTTTTTTTTATCGTACGTACTGCACTTTGATCGTGATTAACAGCAATGTGTAATATATACATAACACAAAGAATAATTTCGTATTAAAATTATAGCATTTATCAGTAGAAACGCTACATAGTAGCTCGTAATACCCGTACATTACATGTAAGTGACGATAATTATTTCTTCTTAAACATTTATATTATTTATTCTATCTGGAATCATAATTTTTCACTTAATAGATCATGAAATAATAGCTGATGTTTTTACGCTTATTTACAATTTCAGAGAAAATTTATCACTGTGATTGTTAACAAAGGATCGTTCGGTAATTTATACGATTTGTTAAATGATATAAAAAGATATTGTATTTTAAGTAATCTCTTTCTAACAACACAATGATAAGTTTTCTCAAGCACCATGTAGTAAAAGTAAGTTGAGAATGTCATAGCCTGTTCATAAGTGTACTTACTTTACATTACTTACATATGTAATGTCTTTATATATATATTTATATATATACATTTTCACATATGTACCTTCACAGTATTTTTTATAATTAAAAACTGAGCAAAGTATAGCATTGATGCATTAGAGAAATGCAAATGCATCTATTTTGAATAGAATAATTTTTTTAGCGTTCTTTAGATTTGTTCTTTAGATCAATATGAACAATATGACCAATACGTAAATTCGAATTACATTTGTAGACGATAAACATTTTTGTAACTTTCTAAAACTGATTCCACTGGTTTTTAAAATGTGGGTGAATTTAAAATAAATAATCTTTCTTCCTCTTTTTTTATCCATTTTAACAATTTACTCACTGCCTCAATAGCATCGGGTTTTGTTACAAGTGGTTCAAACGTAACATACAATTCAAAACCTAATGTTACCTACGAAATATAATTCAGATATTAAATACACTGTGATAACTTTTGTTACGTATCATTTAATTGAACTTACCCATGCCAACATAGTTTCTTTCTCTAATTGTTGAAATATAAGCTTCAATGGTCGATTGGGGCTGTGCAGCCTATGATGTAAACATTGATAAAGCCCCAATAACCTGCAGAACAAGATACAAGTTTTGCATTCTTAAAGTTTTAATCTAGTAACATTATTATCTAATATTACAATTACCGTTCTATTTCCTCATCTGTTGTATACGGAGGTTGAAATCCAGGACTCCAAAATTGTGCTGTGCTTCTACATTTATACAAAACGTGTCGTATTTCCGGCAATCCAATATCAGCAGTTTTGATCGGTGGTTTATTCATGGACTCGTTAATTGCTTCTAAACAATTTGTTCGCCTTAATTTTTCTACAATTTTCTACAAATAAGATTTCTCGTTATTTATCACGTTGTTACTTTCTATATATACTTTACATAAACTTGCATTACATCACTTACTTGTTTTGCTTCGGAAAGAACAAAGAACACATCTCTATCAACTGTGAGCAACAATAAACATGCCTGACAATCCTCGGCCAAATATGATACATGCCCATGCATATACCCATTGGCGTCAAACTTTGGTAGACATATTGGCGTCCAGCTCTCAGCAGTTTTAAGTGACTCTGAACTGTCGACCAAATTTTGTATTATATGTAAATCCACAGGGTGTAAAAAAAATTTGTTCATTCTGACTAATGTTACCAATTGGTTATTAGCTAAAAGTATTGCAAATACTAAGTTCTGAAAAGTGTTCCATACATCTGATTAGTACAATTTACAAAAAACAACAATATTTCAATGTAGCTTTCAATTTGAAATTGCAACGAGCAACTGTACCTTTATTTTGCCACAAGTCTGAATGATAGTTTGCGTGATAGAACTTCTCATTGATGGTAGTAAAGGCAAACATTTAATGGCTCCTAGAAAGAATGCTGGTTCCCTGTCCATAAAATTTAATAAATGATCTATCAGTCTTTCACTACCAGTTAACAATCTTCTTAAATCAAAGTTTCTACGTTGATCGTACACTCTGGTTAACTGTGACTGGGTTAACACAGAGATTATTTGATTATATACATATCTATAACAAAACGTTTTCAATGTAAATATCTTAGAACAAATTGAAATGGAGTTTTATTATCATTTTATTATTCCGTTGTAATATATTTACGTTAATTGTAATGTAAGTTGAGGTACACTTTCGAGTGTTTTCGACACCGCAACTAGAATTAATGGACCTTTGACAACAAATACAAAGTTAGTATCTCCTGCGTGAACAGATCTAATCATGTCACTGCCTGCTTGGACAAACGAAACTAGAGCTTGCATGACACCCATGACTGTGACTAGTTTATCCTCTGAGCTGTATCTAGAATATATGGGTTTCCCTGCTTGGCTTAAAATAAATACATGCTTTTTTTGCGCTAACCATGCCTTACAACGTAAAGGATCTGAGTCGATACCACTCTGTCCTAATCGTTGTGTAACATCATCCTAAAACATAAAAAGTTAACGAATTTATTACATAATATTTAATTTAAACGACCAACGCTAACTATTGAATAATTGGTCAAGAACAGTCTTCATTTTCTTAATTGCCTGTACTTCCGCGTAGACTAAAACACATTCACAGTATTTCACAAATAGAGGTTATGAAGCGTACTAGTTCGGAATCGTCGAGCGACGCAGTTTTCTCAAGTTCCCGTGTATTGGACGTAGTGGGCGTAGTTGGAATGTCTTGCACGTCTTCTTGTATCTCTGAAATAGTGCTCGTTGTGCTTTCTTTCATTTGTCTATCGTCAATACTATTGCTCATCTCTTGTTCATACTCCTCGAAACTGTCGGTAGTGACAAGCATCGTTTCCGCGGAGGCGCCAGGCTCAATACCCGGCTCGGGAATCCCATCGTCGATAGTAGTAGGCTCTTTCGCGGCCATTTTCACGAAGAAAAGCACTTCCGATCTGCTTCTATTTCGAAATTTTCCCTCTCAATTGACATTTAACAGCGAGCCATGACGGATTGGCCGCCATTGTTAAATCCGGCTTATTTAGGACTCAAGCAGATGCACAGACTGTGAGACAGTGTTGCCAATCACTGAAAAAAAAGTCACTACATTAAAATTCGCGAATATTGGTCGATTACATTCGTAGTCGAGTCGTATCATACTCGATCATGTGTATTTATCGAGAAAAATATGTTTCCAAGTAAATTCAAATATTTTCTCTTTTTATTAAGCACGAGTAACTAATATTTAGTGACATGTTTATTTATTTCAAACGCATATTGCTTGACAATAAAAATGAAACATTTAAATACGAAAGATATACAAATGAATAGTAACATAAGAATATACAGGGTGTTCTAGAAATCATGGTACAAATTCACTCAAAATAAGATAAAAATCAAAAATAATGAAACTGCATTTGATATGTACTTGAAAATCAGTTGAATGTATTAAATTTATAATTATTGAATGCACTAAATTTATAATTATGTCTTATACATCTCACTGGAAATCGTTACCGTTCTTCGTATTCGATACGATGTCAGATTTAGGTTAGGTTTACTTTATCTGAATATTACATTGACACTTACATTATGTTGATTAACTCATCAGTTTTTATTAAATTATCAACATGATGCTCTCTTATCTGGACTATTACGTTTAGTTTGTCCTAAGAACGTGTTGATAAATAAGTGATAATGAATACATCCTATAGTGATCTATAAGATAATTATCAGTTCAGTGCATACACTACTGATCTTCAAATGCATTTTTGTCGAAAAATATTCCCAATACAATTTTGTCATATCTCTATATTAGCATCATATAGAATTTTCGATTTATTTTTTCTCATCCAACTAATTAATCGTGAATGTGAAAGCTTTATATTGGAATTAATAAATTCACAATTGAAAATATCTTATATATAACATCCTTTATCTTCTTTTTGATCCTAATTTCTTTCGGACTTTTAGTATCCACGAACTCAGTTCCAGAAATTGCTAGAAATAATAATCATTTAATAATTAAAATTGAAAACAAAAAAAAAATTCCACAGTTTCACATCTTATAATTATGTACAAGGAGCTAAATCATTATGCTTCTTTTCGAAAATATTATTTATTATTTTTTCATAACAATGGAAACTTCAAATTCAAAGATTATGGAAAAGCGAGAGCTATTGTGCATTGAACCATGTAATCATGAAAAGAAATTCTCCTTCACGATACTCTTAGACAAAATAGAACGATCAAGCAATACGTAAGTATTTCAAGCTGTATAAACATTCAGCCGTATAAATAGGAATTAACAGTACCATGTGTAGCCAGTTATTAACACATGTGTAATCGAACCGTACATATACATTGCCAGTTTTTTTTTTTTAATCGACGCATTCTACTTGTTAACTGTGAATTGTAATTACGTTCTGTGCAAGAGTATACGCCCGTGATACACCAACTGATCGATGAACAATGAATCAAGATCCGCCCATTTGTAACTAGACTAGTTTGCACACGTATGAGATTCTCATTACATTATGTATAATACATAATTAAATATCGATATTAAAATAG